AGATATATTGCCTATATATTATTTATAGTGTAACTTTCTTTTTATTAAAATGGTTTGAATAAGTTTATCTTAAAACTTATAAATAATTTTTTTTAATAAAAAAATTAGATTAATGTTTCTCATATTATAAGAAATAATTTTATCTTTTACACACATAAAAATATGTGGGGCCCATGTTTCATTTTCTTCTTCTTACATGGATCTCACATACTTTTTATATCTCATATAATATGAGAGACATTAATTCCTAAAAAATATGTCTTATTAATTTTGGAATTAGGTGTATATGACATGTAGGGACATCGACCGGACTACCATCTTTTTTGAAAAAATGTATCGATATGTCACAAGCGTAAAGATATCGAAAAATTATGCGAAATAAAAAAAATTACTTAATTTAAACACTCAAATTAAAAGTTATGACCATCTAAAATTTTATAATAAAACTTTTCATATTTTGTGTCACGTGTCGTTACCATGAGTCTAAAAGCTCAGACCGGCTACCATGTGTCATTGGAGCAGCTAAGAGTTCTGACTCATTTGACGACTAAATTCGCTGTCAGCCTACCACTTACTGGCATGGAATTTCGTGTCATGTAGTATTTCAAATCTGCTGTCACAATGGGTTTACCACCGTTATATTTTGGCAAATATTTTGATCCTCCGTAATATTCCCGTAAATTATTTTTGAAAGTCGTACAGGCATTGTCCCTGAAATGTATCCATGAATTTCCACTTTATAAGGGCACTTAAAAAGTTCATAGAAATGGAAAATCAGAGGTAGGGCCGCCAGTGACCCATTCGGAAAGTCCTCACAAACTTTCCGACTTCTTCGTTTCCACCATGCAATATTATTAGTTTTCCAATTCATGATGTAACCATTTGGTCTCTCTCATTTTTTCTATTTGCTGGCAGCCATAGAACAGGTTCCTTTCTATCTTTGTCACATAAAATTCTTTGTTTATATTAGCCACAGACAATTGCGGGCGGTTCTGTCGTGATCAATAGTTAAGACGATTAAACGCTGTTTATGAATATAATTAAGTTATGTAATGTAGCATCTCGTAGGCACAATTGGACTCTAGCTGGGAGCATTATTGTCTTCAAAAAGTCATGTAACCCTTCACTTTATGAGAGATTTTGGCAACCCTAAGGGACGTTTTGTAGAAGAAATTTTTTTTATACGAGAATCTCAATTTTTAGAAATATGATGAAAATATTCAGTTTACGATAATATTCGAAAATTAAAAATTTAGAAAAATTTAATTTCTCGAAAATCATGAAAAATACTTGTACCAAACTTCCCCTAAAAAGATAATGGAATCCATAAAAGTAGGTGACAACCTTCATTTGACTGCTCTAGAGGTTCGGAGTTAGGTGTTTATCCATAGCATCAAGGCATTTTGCATACCCTGAATGATGTTGCTCACATGACTATTAGGATTATTAGAAGGTAAAAGAGAGTAAAGAGAAAATATTGATTTCATTGATTGTGGTGAATTGATTTGTACAATGAGTGAGCTCTTATATAGAAGAGCATAACATAAAAGAGAGATCTAGAATATCATTAAAATACTAAACTACCCTTATACCTAATATCTAATACTCCCCCTCAAGATGGAGAGTGAACAAAGAGAACTTCCATCTTGAACAAGAAAAATCAAGAAAACATAAAAACCAAATAACATGATCATCAGCTAATAAAGAGACAGTGCTGGAATGGACATCAGCAAAGGAAGGAAGGGCTGGGATGGACATCAGCAACCTAATATGAACTGCCGGGGTGGACATCGGCAAAATCAACTGTTCTGAAATAAACTTCAGCAACATGAACAATGCTCTCCCTGAATAGGAAGCCAAAATAAAGCCAAACAATGGCAAAACCAAATAACAGCCAACGACAGAACATCAGAAAAAAAAAAATTACAGAATAAAAAAGCCATGAATAAAATTCATCAAAAGCTACAATGATGTATTGCAATAAAATGCACAAGCTCCATGAATCTTCAGAAACCTGCAAAATGAGAAGAAAAAGAGAAAAGAAAAAAAAATAGAAAGATCCGGAAATGAAAATACATCAAAGACACAGATTGACAAAAGGTGGAAGATGACTAATAAGGGAGAGAGAAAAAAAATGGCACGGACAAGGAAAATAAAAAATAAAAAATTGCAGATCGAAAAGACCAGAGAAGAAAAAAATAGTGAGATAGGGTGAGAAAAACAAATTATAGATCTGAGAAAAATCCAACTCGAACAAGGACCCGAATGGTGAACCATGCGAGCAGATCCAAGCGATCGACGATGAGACGGTAACTCTGACAAGGGCAAACAGAGACCTTTAGGCTGAACGGTGCTAAGTGGAGGAGGAGGAAGCACAAACGGAGACCTCCATACTGAGACGCGAAGACGAACGGAGATGTGAACCAGATCCGGTTCCGACGAACCCGAACAACTTGCTACAGGAACTCGAACGGCAGCACGGTGGTCCAAAAAATAGAGTCGAAGGACAGCAAGATGGTGACTTGCTCGCGAACCAAAAATAGATGAAGAAAAAAAACCTCCAATCCCATTGTGACGAAGGAAACAGAAAGAGGGAAAAGTGAATGAATGAAGCTGAAAAATGAGATCAAACAAAAAAAAAGTAGAAAGAGACGAACAACTCTGATGATAAAATAAAATAAAATTCACAGATCTGGAAGAAAGGGAGAGAAAAGATATAGATCTTGGAACAGATCTGGAAAAATAAAAGACTCAGAAAGATCGATGAAGAGAAAACTAAAAAAAAAAATGATGGCAGCGGAACCTCCATTCAAGGAGGATGAAAATGCTCTGATACCATATTAGAAGGTAAAAGAGAGTAAAGAGAAAATATTGATTTCATTGATTGTGGTGAATTGATTTGTACAATGAGTGAGCTCTTATATAGAAGAGCATAACAGAAAAGAGAGATCTAGAATATCATTAAAATATTAAACTACCCTTATACCTAATATCTAATAAGGATCATGTTATTCTCAATTCTTTGGTTCGGGGAATTTTGTAGCTTTTTCTGGGTCATTAGTTCGGATATAGACAAACTATAGTTCTTAAAAATTGTACACAACATTAACCCTTAAAAATGTTTAATTTCATGGTAAAAAAATTATAAACACATTAAAAGCTCTGGATAATTATATTATGAACTGTACTTCATGCAATTTGTATTAAACTACAGGTGATCTTGTTCCCCGAGTTAGCATAGTGGAAGTGAGTTGTGATTATGGGGAAGACTTTACCTAATCATCATTCACAATCTCGAAGCACTATGCCTCAGGAGATACCCGCTCAAAGAAAAAGAAAAATCAAAATCAAAATCAAAATCTAAAGTCAAAACTACTATAAAAACACATCTTTCTGTTACTTGTGTACTTTCATGCATTCGGCTTTAATTATCGAAATGGCTCTTCATTAGTGGCTCATTAATTGGCATTGAAACTCTTGGGTTATTGCCTTATTGGTACCTCTTGAGTTTTCTTATTTTTTTATTTATTTTTAAAAGTAATTTGTCCGGGGTAAAAAAACGAAGCAAAAATGAGACTGATATATATGTGGTGCTATATATAGCTTGATAGATACTTTGGCAGTTGTTTTGTTGCCAAAACAAAACCAGATTATATTATTTGTGAAGCTTCATCATTTGGTATAATAGCTTTTTACACCAAAAAGCTCCTTTTGTTATAAAATTATATTTTAATTGTGTTTGGTGTTCTCTCTAATGTGTTTGTATGGATTTAAAATCACAGATTCATAATGTGCGCAAACGAACACAGTCCCAAGCAATACAGTGAATGAGTAAGGATTTATTGTTCCCACAAGGATATATGATTTTGCACTAATAAGTGAAACTCTTAATGAGTTGAGCCAAATTCATGAAATTGATGTAAATGCTATCAAACAGAAATCAAATAATGTTAGAGAATAATATAAACCATTAAAAAAGTCATCATTCAACAACTACATAGAATTAGAGTTTCAGTGATCACAAGGTCACGAGTTCGATCTTCACCACCCTCCACTTTCTAGTGAAATTAAAATAAACATAAAGTAGATATACAAAATAAATAAATAAACATAAAGTAAAACAAAAAAGATTGGGACTGTGTAATATCCACGTTTCAAGCCTAAAAACAAGAAACAATGAAGACGGAAATATTTGAATTATGTTTTCAAAAACAATTTTTTAATTTTCAGGAAAACAAAAACAAACAAAAAAACTTGGTTGATATGACTTATTTTGTAATTTTTTTTTTTACAAATTATAACTTTTTTAATTTTTAGAATCAAATTTTGAGAATATATCTAAGTTATTTTTATTTTGTGTTTTAACTTTTAACTTTAAAAAAAATACAGAAAATACTTATTTCATTAACAATTCTACAGTATAGTTTGAAGAACCCAAAAGGAAGCGAAATCACAAAAGGAAGCAAAATAGATATTCATAGGTTTGTATCACGATGGATGTGTTTGTATCAAGCAATGTTTAGGGTTTGTTTGGTGTGATGTATAAGACCTGATAGTATAAACTTATACTATACGTTATGATATTTTCAGTTGTTTGGTGTGACCATCGTATAGTATAAGCTTATACAGCAGAATCCCTTTATACATCAAAATGATGTATAACTTAATCAGGTCTAGGTGTGGTGGATTAAGCCTGATAAGATATTGATGTATTAATATTGCTTACAAGTACAATTCTCAATAACTAATATATCATTTCAATATTTATATATTAAAATAATTTTTTTTAATATATTAATTTTTAAAATATTAGAGGATATTATCTTATACAATACCATACCAAACGCTGGATAGTATTAAAATTTAATCAAGTCTTATACTATCAGGTCTTATACTATACTATGCATCAAACATGCACTTATTGAAAATGTGAACTTTGTAAATAGATATTCCGACGTTAAATACAAGAGTTAAAAACATTCATAGCTGTTGATTCCCACGTTTTATGAAATCGCAATATGAGGTACCTTACTATAATATGTTTGGATAATGTTGAATCCCCAAGACCAGTTTGAGCACAGCTCAATTCAAACTAAGACATAGCTCTAAATGATAAAACAGGAACTACAAACTCCTGCCTCCTAAAATTACTCTCAGACAAGCAAGCAACAGTGTTTGAGAAAGCCTCCGCAAAATTGAACACAAGTTACAAGCAATGTAGATTGTAGAGATGATTTGTACAAAAATGAGATTCCAACACAATGAGGATGACACTACGCACTCTAACTGTGAAAGCACTTAATGTGACAAGAAATTACAATCTGACAACATCCTGGAGGCAATCATAGAAATGAGAGATATTAATCTTCTCTTTGCCAGAAAAGATAGCTTCTGCAGATCCACCTTGCTCCCCTTGCGCTGCCATCTCAATTAACATGAATAGCTTCTTGATAGGCATCTGGGAATAAAAATTGAGCGCAAAAAAGACGAGTTAGAATAAGTACCAATAACAATATGCAATAAATGTTCTTATGCAAATTAAATTAAGTAATAACCAAACAATTTAACTTCTTCCCAGTAAAAGCATAGCATGCTACAAAATACCAAATTAGGCACCCTTCATTTTGAAAGAGATGTAAGAAAGTAAAAATAAAATAAACAAAACCTAATTAACAAGAGAAAAATATCAACAGAGGAAGACCAACATCTATTCTATTGATAATCTGTATACATGGCAAGTAAAAATTAACAGGAAAGAAAATTTAGGCAAAACTAATACAAAGACAACTGAACGAATGAAGCACATAAAGGAGTGGCAATACGTACATCATTCAACGCCTCTGCAGCAGAATCAATATCTTCATCGGCAAAGACATTCAACTGTTCTAGGACCTGTAATTTTTTTAAAAAAAAGAAGAAAAGAAATTTAACATTTATTTTGAACTCAAGAAACAGATTAAATTGTCCATTCACATTTTATGTTAGCAAGTGATACAATCACTTAAATTTCAACAGATGAAATAACAGATTTGTTATTGTTATGTTAGGAGCTACTGGTTTTACTGACAAGGAAGATGAAGTCTAGCTCCTTATGCCAGAAATGAATTCTGGAATTTCTAGGAATTCAAGAACAAACAAACAAAAAAAAGAACACAGAAATAACCCAATCCAAAATATTAAGTCCCCAGCCTTGGAGAGGCCTACTGACCAAGAATTCTCCGAATATCTGCCTAGTTTTCTCTCTCCCCCAGATATATTCTGGTATCTCTAAACAAATACCCCACAACCTCTCCTCTTCCACTCACTGCCACATTAGCAGTTTGTTATGGTGCAGCCTATTAGCATGAATATTCCCAATTCCATTCTCCTTGTACTCATTGGTCTAACAATTTTCAAGATTGTGGAAAAGCATCAACAATAACAGGAAATATTCATAGACACATGTCAATAGCATGTAATTAGCCCGTGAGCCAGATAATACCATTATGTTAAGAAAAAATACGATTACCTTCTTTGCATCATTTGTGTTTAAGTTAGGAACATGGTAAGAACCAGAGAAAGTATCACAAAACCGAATTGAGTCCAAGAAACCCAGTTCACTCGTGGTACCAATAATCATGAGTTTTTTCCCCTGACAAAGGTTAAAAATGCACATTAATAACAGTAAGACTTGGGCAACATAAAGGGCCGAAAGGGCCGACCCAGTTCAAATACCCACTTCGTGAGTGTCTGGGGAAGGGAATACTCTAGGCAGTCTTTCCCCTGCTTTTTGCAGAGAGGCTGATTCGAACCCGCGACCTAACACACCACGGCAAGCAAGCTTACCGCTGAGCCAAGCCGGCCCTTCAGACTTGGGCAACATAAACAAAAAAATATTTTTCACCCTCATTTCAACTCTTCATTCGGTAATATTGACCATGTGGAGAAGAACTCTGTACAGGTATAAGTAACATACAGTTCGCATCCATTGCATAAAAAGAAATACAAACATTGAAACATCCAAATACCCAAGATGTTAAAGATTGAAAACCTAGTTCTCAGTTAACACACAATTTGAATTCAACATCTGCTCGGTAAGGCGAGAGAGCAATTTGATTATGAGATCAGCCATCTTTTTTTTTTTTTTCTTTTAAGATAGTGAGATCAGCCATCTTTATATTACATCAAGGTATAAAACATTATGATAAAAATTTTCATTTGACAATTTGGAAATCAGCTGACAGATTTTGGTAAGCTGACTGGAACAGTAAAGTAGTAAGACCAAACGGCAGTAGATCTTCACCTGCCCACCTCCCCCCCTCCTTCCACAAAGAAAAGCATCAGGTTTCCGACAACAAAATCAGATTTTAAAGGAAGTTGAAAGTTTAAACCATTGAATCCAAACTTATTCCTGTCAGTTTTGCTTTAAATCTTCTGACAGATATGCTTCACAAAGGAACTGAAAGGACAAGAAAAACAGAAACCTTTGGAGGAAGCCGTTTGAGCAAGACCAGTAGTGTCTGCGAAATCAAGTTTGAAAACCGAGGACCAATAGGCGCATACTCCAATAACCTGGACCAATGTATAAAGAAATAATTAATATTAACATTAAAGTGGAATTACAGGTAAGGATGATAAAAGAATGATCACAAATATTACCTCTCAATGTCATCAAGAATAATGACACTCAATGGTGACTTGTATGCATCCTCAAAAACCTTAAAGAAATCATTAGACCTTAGAATTTACATGATACGGCAAAGATAAATGTTAAAGTTAACTTGACTCAGTTAAACCTCACTCATAAGGCCAGTAACGAATCTTCAGAAATTGATAAGTTGTAAATATTTGAATTATCTCTAAATTATTTCTAATTAATATTGTAATTATTTATTTCCTTATCTTTTTAAGATTTGGGTTCATTCCTTTAAGCCCATTATTCTCTTTGTATATATTGTACCCTTTTGTATGTGTTCTTTACAACAATAATATTCACTTTTCTTTTCAAGTCTATACACACTCAGTACCCCAATAGATTCAAAAGAAAGGCTCAAAATCATTGGAATTGACAAACCTTAATAATATTTGCACATTTAGTGCTCTCATGAACACCAAGCATTGATTCAGATGAAACCTACCCAATTACAGAAGATAATAATTACATATAGCCATAATTATAAAGTCAAAAGCAATACAGATTTCTAGAGAGTAATATTCAAGATAAGAAAACTTACTATCTTGACATAAGGGAAGTCGCTGTCAATACCAATAGTAGCTGCAAGTGCTGTTTTACCACTATAACAACAAAGTAATTTAGAACCATTCTATCAAAAAAAGTCAAATGAAGATGAAAATTCACACACCTGCCACCAGCACCTTCCAGAAGACAAGTAAATAGTGGGCTTCCTTCACTCACTTTAACTTGCTCCACAAGTAGCATTGCTCTTTGATAAAGGTGCTTATGTCGATCACCACATTCCACCATGCCATGGAGTCTATAAATCAAATAACACAAAACATTAAAAGTCAAAGCAAATTTACTGGTTTCTAAATACTTCTAGACAGACTTAGATTCCCAATTCGCCACATAAATCATAAAACTAAATAACTTCTTTTGAAGACCAAGTAAAACATTGTAAAACAAAATTAAATATTGGAATTCTCAATTTACTGGATGCACTACTCCTTTTGTTCCTGAGCCAAATATTAATCTCGATGCATTACCCATTGCATCAAGGAAAGGGAAAAGGTCTTATACCCAACACCCTATCTCTCATTTTGTCTTTTCTAAGAACCTTTTTGTGCAACATATAAGTTTTATTTCAGCACTTATTCTACTTCAATTCCAACATCAATGCATGAAACATCGAAAGAAGATAATGGGATTCAATTCATGCGTGACGAGATGAATGTTTTGGAGAAGAAAAGTACATGGAAAGTTATTGACAAGCCAAACGAAAAGAAAGCACTGGGATGCATATGGATGTATACTTTGAAATATAATTATGACAAGACTCTTGAGAGGTATAAGGCTCGACTAATAGCTAAGGGTTACACATAGACCTATCGCATTGATTAGAAACTAGAAAGAAACATTTGCTTTGGTAGCCAAAATGAACACAATAACAGTCTTGTTGTCCCTCACTTTAATTGGGACATAAACCAATTTGATGTAAGGAATGCATTCCTCAATGGCGAGTTAGAAGGGAAAGTTTACATGGAGCTCAAATCGAGATTTGACTCCACAAATGGAGATAATAAAGTTTGTAGGTTAAAGAACACTTTGTATGGGTTGAAGCAATCCCCACATGCTTGGTTTGGAAGATTCACCAAGGTTATAATGTCAATGAGATATAAGCAAAGCCAAAGAGATCACACACTTTTCTTTAAACATTCCCAAGGAGGTATGCTCACTATTCTTTTAGTTTATGCTAATGGCATTATTATAATAGGGGATGATATAGTTAAGAAATGTGCTTTACAAGGGAGATTAACTGCTGAATTTGAAGTTAATGATCTTGGGAAACTGAGATATTCTTTTGGGATAGAAGTTGCCCATTCCAAGCAAGAGTTCTTTTTTTTTTTTTTTTTTGTAAATATCCAAGCAAGAGTTCTTTATCTATCCACGAAAGTATGTTCTCGATCTCCTTAAAGAAGGAGGAAAACTTGGATATAAATCTTTCAGTACTCCAATTGAGCATAATCACAAATTGGGAAGCAAAGAGGAGCGCCCTCCAGTTGACGAAGGACAATATCAGTGACTGGTGGGAAGGTTGATATATCTGACTCATAGTAAACCTGATCTAGCTCATGCAGTTAGCATTGTTAGCTAGTTTATGCACGACCCAAGGGAAAAACACCTACAGGCAGTGGAGTGGACAAGATTCTCCAGTATTTGAAAGTCACACTAGACAAACTGTTATTCCAGAGAGAGGGAAACCAATCCTTAGAGGTTTATACACTTGAATATAAAATAATAGAAGAATAATATGTTGTGTATTGATCTGTGTCAGAGAGTTACAATATATAGAGACCCTAATGGGCTTAAGTGAAAGGTCCAAACCTAACCCAAACCTAATCCTAATACAGTCAGAATATTTACGGATAAGACGAAATCCATGAATGTAATAGACAGATGTCAGGGCCAAGGTAGAGGTCGGACGAGCTTGTCCAATCCCACGAACTGGGGCTTTGGTTCCATCCGCAAGGGTAAAAGACGGTAAATGATCAGAATAAGTAAGAGATGTAAAGAGTTCCTTATTACCACAGAGATGATCGGTAGCACCGGAGTCAAATATCCAAGTGCCAAGTGATGTAGAATGAGAAACACAAGCAACAAGATTACCAGTATAAGGCTGAGACTGAGGAGAAGCCTTCCTAAGAGGGGTTTGGAGTGCAGCATAGTCCGAACCTGAACCAAATGATGCATTGTCTGACTGAGCTATATTTGCAACAATAGAAGGAGAGTTAACCTCCGAGAGATCAGGAGATGCTGCTGCCATTTAAAGATAAAATATAAAAGCCGTAAACGAAGGCAAACGATGTCCAATCAAGAAGAACCACGCGTCTAAGGTCAGACCCACAGAGAAACAATCACAGATCCAGAAAGGGGAGGAGAAGGCGAGCTTCTCTGTCCAAGACCGGCCGGAAAAAGCCGCCGGAATAGTGCTCACGCGCCGGCAGAAGGTGGCGCGTGAAGCCCACGCGCAGAGAAGACAGGTGGCGCGTGACGGCGCGTGGGAGATGCGTTGCTGACCGGACCACCACAGACCTGGTCGCCGGGAAGAGAGGGTCCTGATCGCGTGAAGTTTGGTCGGAAAAGTCGCCGGAAAAAGTCTCCGGTTGCCTGAACAGTGATTCTGACGGCGGGCGGTGGTTCCGGTGGCCGTCGGAGGTGCTGACGCATTTGGAAAAATCACTCAGAGGCTGTTTACAGCCCTAGAAGGCTTGCCGGAAGGACGCACGGCAAGAAAGAGGACTCCTAAGCAGTGGGCTTAGGTTTTAAAGCAAAAAACACGGTTTCTAAGCGGAAGCGAGGGTTCCCAGAACGAAAGAGCTCTGATACCAACTTGAATATAAAATAATAGAAGAATAATATGTTGTGTATCGATCTGTGTCAGAGAGTTACAATATATAGAGACCCTAATGGGCTTAAGTGAAAGGCCCAAACCTAACCCAAACCTAATCCTAATACAGTCAGAATATTTACGGATAAGACGGAATCCATGAATGTAATAGACAGATGTCAGGGCCAAGGTAGAGGTCGGACGAGCTTGTCCAATCCCACGAACTGGGGCTTTGGTTCCATCCACAAGGGTAAAAGACGGTAAATGATCAGAATAAGTAAGAGATGTAAAGAGTTCCTTATTACCACAGAGATGATCGGTAGCACCGGAGTCAAATATCCAAGTGCCAAGTGATGTAGAATGAGAAACACAAGCAACAAGATTACCAGTATAAGGCTGAGACTGAGGAGAAGCCTTCCTAAGAGGGGTTTGGAGTGCAGCATAGTCCGAACCTGAACCAAATGATGCATTGTCTGACTGAGCTATATTTGCAACAATAGAAGGAGAGTTAACCTCCGAGAGATCAGGAGATGCTGCTGCCATTTAAAGATAAAATATAAAAGCCGTAAACGAAGGCAAACGATGTCCAATCAAGAAGAACCACGTGTCTAAGGTCAGACCCACATAGAAACAATCACAGATCCAGAAAGGGGAGGAGAAGGCGAGCTTCTCTGTCCAAGACCGGCCGGAAAAAGCCGCCGGAATAGTGCTCACGCGCCGGCAGAAGGTGGCGCGTGAAGCCCACGCGCAGAGAAGACAGGTGGCGCGTGACGGCGCGTGGGAGATGCGTTGCTAACCGGACCACCACAGACCTGGTCGCCGGGAAGAGAGGGTCCTGATCGCGTGAAGTTTGGTCGGAAAAGTCGCCGGAAAAAGTCTCCGGTTGCCTGAACAGTGATTCTGACGGCGGGCGGTGGTTCCGGTGGCCGTCGGAGGTGCTGACGCATTTGGAAAAATCACTCAGAGGCTGTTTACAGCCCTAGAAGGCTTGCCGGAAGGACGCACGGCAAGAAAGAGGACTCCTAAGCAGTGGGCTTAGGTTTTAAAGCAAAAAACACGGTTTCTAAGCGGAAGCGAGGGTTCCCAGAACGAAAGAGCTCTGATACCAACTTGAATATAAAATAATAGAAGAATAATTTGTTGTGTATTGATCTGTGTCAGAGAGTTACAATATATAGAGATCCTAATGGGCTTAAGTGAAAGGCCCAAACCTAACCCAAACCTAATCCTAATACAGTCAGAATATTTACGGATAAGACGGAATCCAATCATATCTAATCATATCTAATCATATCATATCTAATATTCTAACATATACAAACACTGATTATGCTGGGTCCAAAACTGATTGAAGGCCTACCTCAGGCTATTGTATGTTTCGTTTCTTTGTGGAAACCCAGTAACGTGGAGGAGTAAAAAGCAAAATGTGGTTGCTAGATCAAGTGTAGAGGCAAAATTTTGAGCCACGGCCCAAGGTATTTGTGAATTGTTATGGACGAAAATCATTCTTAATGATCTCAAGGTGAGATGTGAAGGACCTATCAAGTTATTATGTGATAATAAGTCAGTCATCTGTATAGACCACAATCCTTTCCAACACAACCAAACAAGATATATTAAGATCGACTGCCACTTCATCAAGGAGAAACTAGAAAGCGAATTGATCATTACTCCTGTAAAGATCCAATTCAACCCAAAAGCTTAAACTGGTGGGTGAGAATACATTAATGATTTTATATATCTTTAACATGTCCCTTCACACGAGAGCCTACTAGGCTTGAAAGGTAGACAATGCACGGGCCCACCTACCTGTGCTAAGAAACTCCACAAGACTTGATTAATTATTAATTAAATGAAGGTGGTGAGGATCGAACTTGTAACACCGAGATTTTGATACAACATAAAGAACCAATTCAACCCAAAAGCTTTGGGTGAGGCTACATTAATGATCTTATATATCTTTAACAACTCTATATACAGTGGCGGAGCCACTTGGTGTCTGGGGGTAGTCTCGGCCCGGGCTAAATTTTAACAAATTGTATTTATCATGTATAATTACATAATTAATTATAATTTGGCCCAGTCTCGGCCCGGGCTAAATTTTAAGTTATTTGTTCCATTTCCATTTATTTAAAAAAATTAAAATATATTCAATAAAATTAAAAAATATTTAATAAAATTATAACTCTTTTATATTTCCTGCTCAGGTATTTAGTATTTAATATAATTTAAATATATTATGATACAAATTAACTAAAGTTAAGAAAAATAAATACACATATAATATTTTGGCCCGGGCTCCGATTGGAGCCTGGCTCCGCCACTGTCTATATATACATTCTGGTTATCAACTAGCTGATGTCTTGACCAAGGGACTTCCTACCATCAGATTATAAGAACTAAAACAAACTAGGAATGATAAATATCTATTCATCAGCTTGAGGGAGAGTGTTGTAAATATTGAAAGTATCTCTTATTATTTGTTTCCTTATCTGTAATTATTTGTTTCCTTATTTTTTAGGATTTGGGTTATTTCTTTTAGGCCCATTAGTCTCTTTATATATATTGTATTTTTTTGTACATAATTAGATCAGAATAACAATAATATTTCAATTTTTCTTTTCAAGTTATAACATCAGCTAATTAACTCTAAATTGGTAAATCAAAGATCCTCAACATAGTAGGGTAGAACTACATAGAATTCTGGTGGGAATTTGCATCCCCATAGTTGGAAAAGTTCTCTATCTTTTAGTTATATCTACGTGGTAAAAAATTATGATAAAAACATTGATCCTAATGCCACAGAGAAATTTTAAGTGAGCAGAAAGAAGAGGAACTCTGGTGTTTAATTCAAATTAGGTAGTTATTAGTAGATAGGGTGCAGTTATGTATGTAGTTATTAATTCTCTATGTAATATAGACTGATATTTTAGGTAGTAGGGCTGGGTAAATTAGTAATGAGTAACTACATGTCAGTTTCAATAAGTTATTATTTTTCATTTATTAGTGCGAATCTGGATGAAGGGGGCATCAGATTTGTTTGGAACTATTTTAGTCAGGGGACTGGGGCTAGGATAGTTCCTCCTTGCTGGTAGCTTAGACTCTTAACGTGTAATTACTTGTTTTTTATTGGAGTATATGTACTGTTATTACTAAGATAAGGGGTTAGTCTTATCAATTGGTGCTTTCATTGAGAGTTGAAGAGAAAGGATACAACGTAATTGTTGTTGTATGTCACAAAAATGGCAAATCAAAGGATGGATGCACTGGATCAAAGGTTGGCTGTAGTAGAAGTGTCACTCAAAACGCAAGAGACTATGTTGCGCAACCATGATACGAACCTTGGTAGTCAATCAAAGTGTTTGGATGAGCACTCAACCCAACTGTCCACACTCATTACTAACGTAGGAGAACTCACTAAGTCATTGCAGGCAATGTGTTCAAAAATGCGAGATGGATTCCAAAAGCAAATACAACATCATGGTGAGCCTTCTTTCTCTAGATCAGGGAACATGAAGAGACTAGTGAAGGTTCAGGAACATCCAGGAATGATGATCTCTGTTTGTCAGCCAAGAAGCGTTGAGTTGTCGGTGTTCAATGGGACGAATCCAGTTGGTTGGGTAACATGGGCTGAGGCGTATTTCGCTGTACATGGCACTGTGCTAGATCTTCGCCTCCAGTTTGCACAAATATGCATGGAGGGAACAACTTGGTATTGGTTTAAGGTAATGAGAGAATCTGACTCGCAAATGGGATGGGAGAAATTCAAACGGGCTCTTTTTGATCGTTACGGAGAACATTATTTGGGCAATCGTTTTTCATAACTTAAGGTGTTGGCACAAACCGAAACAGTGGATGATTACGTTGATGAATTTGAAATGCTGGCTACACAAGTTCTTCCCATGCCAGATGAACAGTATTTGGGACTATTTCTTGAAGGCCTAAAGGAGAAGATTAGACTAGAGGTATTATCTATAAGGCTCCTATTCACAAATATAAAGCAATTTCTATTGCCCAACTTGCAGAGAAGAAGTTGGGAATGTAGGAGAGAGGATGCTAGTTTTCATAAGAATGTGGCGATAAGTCACCAAATTGCTGGAATCAAGGGTAGTGAAGCAAATGGAGATAAGCCGAGCACATTTCAAAATAATTCCCAAACTCATGGAAGGAACGAGAAGTAAACTAGTGGGGATGATAAGCAAAACAGCAAGCCTAACAGAGGAGTGCACAATCTTTCTTATCAAGAATTGTTGGAAAGAAGAGCCAAGGGGCTGTATTCTTATCAAGAATTGTTGGAAAGAAGAGCCAGGGGGCTGTATTTCAAGTGTGGACAGCCTTTCAGCCCTGCTCACCAATGTCCAGAAATGCAACTATGCCTCCTAATTTGGGAAGAAGAGGATTTTCCTAACACCATTGAATCGCAAGAGGCAGGGGACAAGATTGGAGATTTAGGAGAAGGACATTCGCCAACAATTTTCAACATTTTGCCTTGAGAATGTTGGGGTTCCATTTGCAAGGTATGAGACTTGGAGTCCCACATTGGTTGTATAGGCAATTAATGTGGAGTTTATAAGGCTTTGGGCACTCCCACCCTTTGAGCTAGCTTTTGGGATGGTGCATCCCAAGGTCTTATCAAATGGTATCAGAGCCTTCCACTATGTCTCCCGGTTACAATCGAGCGGCACAGGTGGTGACGTCAACATTGCAGTGTTCGCCTGGGGCTAGGAAAAGACTACCGCAAAGCCAGCTCGCGTAGGCGCCGGGGCTGCGGAGCGTGGTGGAATGTTACGATCCCATTTGCAAGGTATGGGACTTGGAGTCCCACATTGGTTGTATGGGCAACTAATGTGGGGTTTATAAGGCCTTGGGTACTCCCACCCTTTAAGCTAGCTTTTGAGGTGGTGCACCTCAAGGTTCTTATCAAATGGTATCAGAGTATCCATCACGTGGAGTTGTGCGTAGGGGACGCACTAGGGAAGCGTGGTGGAATGTTGGGGTTCCGTTCGCAAGGTATGGGACTTGGAGTCCCACATTGGTTGTATGGGCAACTAATGTGGGGTTTATAAAGCTTTGGGCACTCCCACCCTTTGAGCTAGCTTACCCTTTGAGCTAGCTTTTGGAGTGGTGCATCCCAAGATCTCATCAGAGAACAAAGCAAATTCTAATGGGGAGAGTATTGATAGAAACATTGATCCCAATGGCACAGACTTTGTCATAGCAAAGCCCTTGAAATTTTATGTGAGCAGAAAGAAGAGGAAGTTTGGTGTTTAATTCAAATTAGGCAATTATTAGTGGATAGGATGCAGTTTGTATATAGTTATTAATTCTCTATGTAATATAGACTGTAATATTTTAGGTAGTAGGGCTAGGTAAATGAGTAATTAGTAACTCCATGGCAGTTACGGGAAATTATTATTTTTCATTTATTAGTGTGAATCTGGAAGAAAGGAGCATCATATCTGTTTGGGATTATTTCAATCAGGGGACTGGGGCTAGGAGAGTTCCTCCTTGCTGGTAGCTTAGACTCTTAATCGTATAATTACTTGTTTGATATTGGAGTATATGTAAAGTTGTTACTAAGCTAAGGGGTTAGTCTTATCAAATTATCTGTATGTTAGGGGTACGTTTAGTTGCACCCCCCCTATTAGTTGTTCTCTATCCCTGCCAATATGATTAGAAAAGAGTGCTATTGCTCTAGAGTCTATAGTCAATACCTATCTTTTTTACCATTTTTATTTTTCAACCAACTACATATAAAACAGATATTGCTGCGAAGAAAATTGAAACAGTTAGTAAAAACAAAAGTAATATATTACTGAATTTTTAAAATAACTCTGCCTCACTATGTAATGTAGCACAAAGTATTCAACTTGGACTGCCTAATAACTTAATTCCTGAAATTTCTTCTATAGAATACATTATATGTAAATTTTAGGAATGATAATGGAGCGGGAATAAATAAAATGAAATTGCTTAACCCATTTATGAAAACTCTAAAGTCTAGTGACTACAAGCAGTACCTTCTTCTTTCAAGGTCGTCAGTGGAAGCTCCAAACATAGGAATAACATCATGGAGTGCATTCAAAAAGTCATCCATAGTAACCTTAATATTATCTTCCTCCACTGGCTTAGTGAGATCATCAAGGCTCAATTGTCTGTTTAAAGCAAATGAGACAGCACTTTTCACAACACCTTCAAGTTCTGCACCACTGAAGTTTTTTGTTCGAGCAGCTGCACAAGACAAGAAAAGCCAAACCCAGAGTAAGTAAACTCCCATGATCTTCATAGTTCAATCGATATAATTCAGATAATTTAATTTTTCCTGTTTTGGTAAAATGAAAAATAATATTGACATCAGAAGTCGCAAATTTTGCTTCATCGACATTTGTGTAATTGTTAATAAAGAATTAACATGATCAAAATAACTAATTATGAATAATGTCATTTTTACTACCTTATCCCGGCCTTCAAACGGTTAATCATATTATGGTACAATCCAAACCCATTAACCAAAAGTAAGAGTTAGCTAATTATCAAATAGAACCTTAATTTGTTCAGTTTACGGAGCAAAGAATAGTGTTATCACAAAGGACAAGAGTGCATTTGCGTTTTGCAAATATCTTTGCCATTTGAAAAGAAGTTTGTTATACTGCAAAACTCATAGTTAAAAAGAATGGAATTGATTCTGAAGTCTTCTAAGTTTAATAATCATTCAAAATTTATAAAATCAATTCTTATATGATAAAATATTTAACTCAAAACTATTTTGACAAAGAAAAATATATAGTCAGGTTGTACTTATTCAGTATATACCTGAATGAAAAATTTCCTTCGCTCACTACTTCATTTAAAATTTCAAAAACATTTTACCAAACAATATTTGACAGAGAAAAAGTAAAAACTAGTATAAAATTAAATTTTAGAAAAATAAGTTGTGATTTTCTATGAAGCACAGACACATTCAGAAAGTTACCATCTTTGTGTTGGACACATCATGCCAATCACAACTGAATGCATAAAGAAGTAATTGGATACCTCAAACTTGTTATGTCACAAATACAATATGTCCAAGTCTGTGTCATGTTGTGTCCGATGTGTCTATATGCTTAGGTGATTTGAAACCAGCTCGAAGTTAAAATTTACAGAGACTTATAAACTGCTTTCAACTAAAATAGGTCTGAACCAGTTTTTAATTTACCAAACTCCCCTTCAGGTTGCATGTGACAAAACTATCAAATAAAAGAGACTAAGATAGATGATAGATCATGCGTAAAATCCCACAATAAAAACTATTTTGCTGATGCAATTAAGCATAATCATCAAAAAAAATTATTACTTTCATCAAAAATTAAATGTACAAACATATGTAAGACAAGACTAGGCATCACTAAACACATACCAAGCTCTTGAAGGTTCACATCAGGAGCTAGAAAAGAATTCTCTTTCATCTTGCTGGTATGAATTTGAAGAATTTGCAATCGACCATTTTCATCTGGAAGGCTTATCTCAACCTGGACTTCCAACCGCCCAGGTCTGCAAGACATAAGTAAATGATAATCAACTAAAAGATATGCACCACGTGCACAAATAGCTACTATGCAAATCACTGTAAGGGTTAGAATTAAGCACATGCACAATGAGTAGCATTGGCTATTCAACTCATGGGTGACTACTACTTCTGATTAGTTATAAATGTAGTAGATGATTCCTCTTGTAACTAATACTGTATAAAACACCGGTACAGCACACATTGCTGACTTAAGCATGTCAAACGCTAACAGAGCTTGCTCACAGCCTCACACCATACAAAGTTGTCTTTCTTCAGTAGATCTGTCAAAGGTTTAGCTATCTTTCCATAATCCTTGACAAATTTAAGAGAATAACCTGTTAATCCCAAAAAACCCACAATCCCTTAATATCCTTTAGGGCCTGGCACTAGAGCATAGCTTCAATTTTCTTCGGATCTACACGAACTCCCTGTTTGGAGATAATATGGCCCAGATATCCCACTTGCTCCAGAGCAAAGCAGCACTTCTTACGATTGGCCACCAAACTGCTAGTTCTCAATACCTCAAATACAGCTACAAGATGTCCCACGTGATCTGTCTTACTGCTGCTATATATTAAAATATCGTCAAAGAATACCACGACAAACTTACTAAGAAATGGTATTAAAACCTCATTCATTAGAGAATTGAAGGTAGAAGGTGCATCGGTGAGCCCAAATGGCATCACTAAATACTCATAATGGCCTTCATAAGTTCTGAAGGATGCTTTTGGGATGTTCATGAACCGATTCAAACCGCGGTGACCAAACCGAAACCGATAACCGAAAACCAAAAAACCAAAAATCGAAAAAAAAAAACCGCAAAAATTAATTAGATTGGATCAGTTTTTGGTTTGGTTGGTGAAAACCGATCCAATGATTCCCCAATCATACCCTCTACTTACTTGGGTCTTTCTCCAATTATAGCCCAAAAACCATATAGCAAAATTCTAAACCCAAGAACCATTAACCCATCATGTCGGAGAAAGTGGGTTGTGCTTGATCTATATTATACATATTTTTTTGGATAAGATACATCATATATTTTTATTGCATCGGTTATTGTTTCACAGCAGCTCCTCTACGATGAAAATTTGGGTTACTCTGTATCTCAGCAACCACAATGTAAATTTTTTGTTGGAAGTAAAAGATGGTAATTCAACTTCTTGTTGTACCATATTGAAAATTAGATCATCATTTACTGATGCTTCTAAATTGCACAATAATCATCATACAAACTTTATAAAGCCGATACATACAAAAAGTTGGATTGGATTTGCACAAAAATCATCATACAAATTTTAGGCTTTTCAAAAAACCAAAAACCGATCCAATCCAAAATGAATAAAATTGGATTGGATTTGATCGGATATGAAAAAAAATTCAAACTGAATGGATGATTATATGATCAAACCAAAAGGATTAGATCAAATGATTTTTGCTTCCAAAACCGATCCAATCCAGACCGCTAATACCCCTATCTTCCTGCATCCTAATATGGTGATAACCAAATTTGAGGTCCAGTTTTGAAAAAAAACTTAAATCCACCCAATTCATCCAGAAGTTCCTCAATGACCAGTATAGGAAATTTATTAGGTACTGTGATTTTATTCAAGGACCTATAATCCACACATGCCCTCCAACTCTCATCCTTCTTTCTTACCAAGATTATACGACTAGAATAAGGACTCACACTCGGCTTAATCAACCCAGAATTAAGCAATTCAAACATAAGCTTTTCAATAATAGACTTCTAATAGTAGGGGTACCTATATGGTCTCATGTTGGGTACCTAGTTGTCTGCCTCAAGAGTAATTGTGTGGTCCTGCCTTCTTTTAGATGGCAGTCCTTGTGGTTCCTAAAAGATGTCATCAAACTCCAGCAACAACGTTTGCAGTTCTGGCCACGTCACCTCAAGTGTTGGTTCCGAAGCAGTAGTCCACTGTTGATCAACTACAAACCCCTGTCCAGCTGCAGATAATGCCTTGACCATTGAACGAAGAGAAGCCATAGCCTTGGTATTGGAAAGAACTGGATCCCCTCTCAACACCACTTCTTGCCCACCCACGCATACTTTTAAAGTAAGGGTATTGAAATCTGCTTTCATTTCACCCAAACTCTTCAACCAATCTAATCCCAATATGACCTTAGCTCCCCCCCAGCTCGAAAATAAACAAATCTTGTCGAGATTTTCCCCCATAAACATCGATTTCTACATCCCTGCAAACACCTTGACACTCGACTTTATACCCATCCCCCACCTCCACCTTATACTTGGGAGTGTCTTCATTGGTTAACTTTAAATGGTCTGCCACTGCTTTCGCCACGAAATTGTGTGAAGCCCCACTATCCACCATCATGATCAACCATTCTCTGCATATCAAACCCCATAGATTCATGGTTCGGGTTGAAGAAAGCCCCCAATAGGCTATACATCGAAAGCTACAGTGCCACATCTTCACTCATCGGCTGACCACCTTCGACCCCATCATCCCTCTGGTCATGAAATCTGTTGCCTCCACTGTCTTCATCATCAATAATCAGAAGATTAAGGTGGGGAATTTTACGACGGTGAGTAGGGTTCCAACGTTCCTCACACTTGAAGCAAACCCCTCTTCTCATACAATCTTGAAGCTCCACTTGAGTTAGCCTTCGACGTTCAATACTAGAATTTTGGCTTCCCAAGCTTTCAGGGTTTTGAGTTGCCCCCTCTGTGTTCTCCATATTACCTTGTCATTAAAAGACGGTACACGTGTCACCTCCTTATGTCTTTTGATTGATACGTGTCACTGGGATTGCCATTGTGGCGTAAGTAGGTCACATGCCTTGCACTAGCCATACCCAAAGTGTTTCGAGTGGATTGAGCTGGTCGACTAAGCCTACTCCATTTTCCACCAACCCCAAACCCATGTTGAACCCAGGCCTAATTCCTCTTCTCCAGCAAGGTCGTCTCCTTCATCAACTCTCCAAGAATCATCAAATTCTTCTGCAACAACTCTATTCGCAGCCCTTCATTAAAACCGTGAAGCCAAATCTCCCTAAGCATATAATCATCAGCGTAATGGAAGGGATTGATTATCCTTTCAAACTCCGCTCGAAATGCAACAACACAACCCGTTTGCCTTAAACTCATTAACGCTTGCTAAGGACTTCCCATGGCTTCCATCGTAAATCTCTCCAAGATATCTTCCCTGAAATCAGCCCAAGTAGCATTTGGATTGCTCCTTTCCCAAACCTGGAACCAATTAACGGTTGAACCATCCAATACCACCATGACCGAATTGATCCTGTCCCTGTCATTCAACAAAAATACATCTCTACCTTAGTGAGCCACGAATACACATCATCTCCTTGAAATCGAGGCATCTCTAGATGTGGGGAACGCCATGCTACTCCACGCTCCACCTCCTCACTTCCCCAACCAGAATCCATGGACTCTTTCCTACCCCCCTGCGAACGTCCACATCGTCAGCTCCTCTCACGACTAGGAGACTGTCTGTCACGATGATCATGTAGGAGTTGCACGATCTCCATCAGCCTCTGTTCTGTTCTACAGAAACGTTCTTCTGTCAGCTCCTCATTATGACGGAAGCGCTCATCAATCACCTCGAATCTGGCATCCATATTGTGAGTCACCACTATTCAAACCCAGTTGATACAATTGGATCAAAGAAAACAAGAACAGAAAAGCAGAACGTTTTTTGGCTCAGAAAGAACACTTTCTGGAATTTTCTATATATTATGGAAACAAAAATTACAATCCAAATGGAAAAGAAACAATCAACAGAGAATCAACTCAATTACAGTGCAGAAGTTTACTACCAGCTACAATTATAGTAAAAGAAGAAATAAAGGCTCAACACGTTCGAGAGGTGTTGATCTCTCCCAGTTCTAGGTTCTACTTCTAGTCTAATTCCTTCACTGTTAGCACCTGGTTCATATAACTACCTCAGCCTCCTGCCACGTTGTCCTTCCCTCATTTCTCTCCATTAACAACTCTAACAGAATTGCCCTCTAAAGCTTCTTCTAGAATATTCCTTGTTGCATCTTCAGCATTCCCAACTGTTCCCCTATGACGTTTTCTCGAATAAACCTTTAACGCCACTATATCAGGATCCTACAATGGATCCAAACTTCAAACTACTACCACGTCAGGGGGAGCCACAAAAGATCTTACAAAAGATCCTACAATCGATCCTACAAAAGATCTAGGTTATAAATATCTTATCAATAAACTTAACTACCTTACAGTAACCAAACCAAGTATTACTTTTGTTGTAAGTGTGGTATATCAATATATGAATGCTCATTGTGATAGTCATTGGGATGCTATGGTTTGCATTCTTAGATACATCAAGAGTACTCCAATAGCATCTCAAGTTGGGAGACATTAAGGAAATGAAACTTATTTATGATAACTCGCATTGCATATTGCTTCTTACGCAATCTCTACATAAAAAAGCCAAAAACATAAATATTGACTACCATTTTTGCCAGAGAAAAGTTTTTCCATGCAAGATCATTACGGGTTTTGTTAACTCCAACGACTAGTTGGCTAATATATTAACTAAATCACTTACAGGGCCTTTGGTTGACTTTATTTATAACAAGTTTGGTGCATATGACATATGTGCTCTACCCTGAGGGATAGTGTAACAATTCAGCATTAGAATCAATCACTAGTGTAATGAGTAATATTAACTATTATTGACTCATAGGTGAGTAGTGCTAATTAGCTTTAATTTAGGAGATAAATCCTCTTGTAATTAATAATGAAAATAATATAAATATATACATGTGTAGACTGATTAGTCACACAATTTTCCCCAAAGTCTCCTCTAATTGTATAACAAGGAATTAGAGTGGCAGTAGATTGATGACAATTATAGCATATTCATGTTTGGTTTTATAAGAGTTGTGTTGTAGGAAAAGTGATTGTGTTATGTTATTGAGATTCGTTTTGCGTGCCGTAGTTTTTTTTTTTCTTCAAAACATGCGGGCCCCACAAAATGTTGTGTGTAAGAAACTTTTTGTGGTCATATTAAATGATTGAATGCAAACCCCATTCATGTTTACTGTTTACATTTACACTTCCCATGAAAAGTATATTCAAAGAACTGGAACAGGGAAGATTAGAGACCTTAAGAGAGCTTCATCAAGCATGTCCTTTCTGTTAGTCATTCCAATAAGCAAAACATTATTCAAAGACTCCACACCATCTATCTGTAAACAAATCGGATAGTCTCTTAGATTTACTGATGACTACAATAGGAAAATTGTTACTTTTATCAACAACAAAAAAAGCATTTAACACCTTCACTGACCTTAGTAAGAAGCTGGTTCACAATACTATCATGAACTCCGGTACCATCTCGAGTTGAACCTCTTGACTGCGCAAGACACAAAGAGGAACATTGCGTGATTATATATAGTATCAGGGAATTCAATCACAAAACAACTTTAAATTCAATGCTTGTGATTACTCAGAGAACTACATGCAGCATTTTCAAGGCCCCAGATTGAAAACTCATCATGTTCCCAATGATCACACTTATGGACATGCTCAGAGAAACCAAGATGACAAAACAAATTTTCCACTAGTTAAGTACATCCAAACAAAATGTGTACAAAAATGAATATTGACCACAATAATGAAAGTTTAAGCTACAGCTTAAATATAAAAACTCCACCAGTTAAGGCTAACTCAACTATTGCTTATTAACTGTAATCAACAAATTGACAATAGCAACAAAATAGATAATTGATGTTGATCTAAAGTTGAGAAACCCCGTACCTTGCAAATAGCATCAATTTCATCAAAGATTATAACATGCAAATCACTTTCATCCCCTGGAAAAACAGTGAACAATAAAAGTGAATTATCTGAAATTTTAACTAAATGGACATGCAGTCTGTATATATCCATCACCTCGGGCCCTTTCATCCTGTTCAGCATCAGCAAAAAGGTCCCTCACATTCTTTTCGGTTTCACCAACAAATTTGCTCAAAACTTCAGGGCCATTTACAATCTAGTACAGGTCACAAGAAAGAAAAATTAAGATTCATCAACCACCATAAAAGATAATTACCAAATACCAACCAATAGAAAGCAAAGTACACGCTTTCCATATTCCAAATTTAAAATCGTTCAAGCATGTCAATTAGTTGAGGAATCAGAAGCAAACCAAAAAGTTAAACAATGTCACAAAAATCAAGTATAGAAGACATAAAAGCAGGGTGAGAAATGATAATGAGTCAAAAGGATGTTACGCCCACCACCCAAATAGGACTCATGCAAGACACATTCAAAGAAATAGAAAAGAGGGGACTACAAGCAATGGGGTTCAATATTTTCAAATAACGATTCATTACCAATAACAGCACATGAAAATGATTTTATGAGACAAGACTTGAAAACATTATGTTTTGCCAAATTCTATGTAAAAAGAAGATAGTAGAAAATGTATAAAGTATTCAATGGTAAAAACATTCAAGAAAAGCATATTCCAAGAAAATTACTAGCCCACTATGAAAAATAATTAGGAGACTGAACACTATTAATTAAATGGAAGAAACTATAAGTATCTTATCTCTATTAACTGCTGTTGATTGCATACATAATAATTACATATAGATGTATCTGTTCTAATTTATTACACAAGTAAAAGAGTAATTTCCAAACCTTTGGTTCCTTCCCATTCAAAACTTTTCCAATTTGACGTGCAATAAGGGTCTTTCCAGTTCCAGGAGGCCCATGAAGCAGCATGCCCTTCACATGCTTGATCCCTAATCTGAAACATCAAAGGTTTCCAAGTAAGAGCATGATATACTATAAAAACAGTGGATTGAATGATGGACCACAGTATCTGATCTATTACTTAGATGTCACATGGGGAGGGAAAACACGAGAGGCAAAAGCTCTTCGAAATATATCTGCAAACTCTGCACTCAGGCCACCAATTCCCAAAGACTGAAGGTTAAACTCTTTCTGCTTAAAAATGTTGCTAGTGGCAGCCTCACGCTGATTGACAATCTGCAAGGCACAACATGATCCAGTAAATTTATGCAAGGATAATGATGGAACTGAAATGTATATTACTGACGAAACAATGGAAACTATCTCCTTATACGAACTCAGAAAGAGAAAATGGTATATGACTGAAACAGAAAATTGCAAAGTCAAAGAAAACTCCAGACGTATGCCAACTCAGAACCTTTATACCCTTCCTAACACTTTTGCTTAATTCTTTCCTACCATGCACTACCTATCCTTCCCTCTTATATTTTCATTTTTCCCTAGCCGAACTCCCACCTCCCACTACTCCTTGTCAACTCAGCATTTAGTTATGCTCTAGACTTAACCTGAATATTCCCTTTATTTCCTATTTTGTCCTTCTCAGCCTTGTGTGTTTATCCTTCTACTTCTCATTCTTTTCTCGTTGCATATGCCTTAGTAAAGGAATCTATCAGATAATAATAGTCAGGTTGTACAGCTAAGAAGTTTTCATAACATGTCATTATTTTGCTTCGCAAAGTATTGGCTATTATCTCACATTAAGTAAATATAATAATGATCAATACAAGATTACTGGACCTAGCTTTCTAAATTACATACAAAAGATATTAAGAAGGAGCTTTTTGTATGAATGTTATAACAACAAGATTAGCCAAACATTCACCAGATCACAATCAGTGAAATTAAGCATCAAAGGATAGTTAAGCAATGTAAGCATCCAGAATGTATCAACAAAGAACTGTGCAAAACAGTGTAGATGTCGAGTTTGGGAAACTCGCCTTAATTCCACTATCACGTGATGCTTCAAAAACAATATATGTATCGTCTGAAATCATCCCTCTTTCAAGAGAATTAGACTTTTCTTGGCCCTCAATAGCAGCTTGACTGACTGTAAAGCTATAATTATTTCCATGAAACTCAAATAACACTTTCTGCCCTGTTGTCATAACCTGCATAAAATAAGTTCCAATTTAAAAAAATTTGACACATGGATATAGGCCGTCAAACAAAAGGGAAAAAAAATGCACATGAAGAGTTAATAGATGGGCCCAGAGTACAAAATTTTCCCAAGCTTCCTAAGAATAAGAAAATTATTTGAGAAGTCATGGAAATGGTGTGTAAGGCAAGACAGGAAGGCTAAAAACAGAATAACATGTATGAGACATCAAAACAACAAGATCATGGGCAATGTGATGAACATTACAAAATGTTTTTTTCTTTCATCCAACTACATGTAAAGACTAAAGAATATATCATAATTCAAGTAAAAATACAATGAGAAACACCCCCTCTCTCTCTTTCCTCTCCTCAAAGAAACTAGATAGGTTACCAGTATAGAAAATTATTCTCTTAATAGGACATAGGAAAAACCAAAAACCAAAATTATAACTAAGATGATCGGTGCATAAATTACAAAGGAAAGGCTGTCAGGTTTCACAAACAAGTTGAAGTTTAAAATAACCTTATATCATATAAAAATAGTAAATGTTGCCTTGGCATAATCATTTTAGAGAAATTATAACTTATTGATTAATTGAATTCTACTACTATGTATTACATTAGTAACTGTTTCTAAGAAATAATGAATGATATTTATGCAAATAATAACCAAAGAAGCTAAGCAACAACCAGATGATATTTTCCTTTCTGTTGTCCAACCATGATCAATCCAGGCAAGAAGTTTCTAAAATAAAACTCTCTAATTAGTATTATACTCATCTAGCAACCAAAGGGAAATATCTATGACAAATTGCAATAATCAGAAACAGATGGCAAGCATATTAGTCAAAAGGCAACCAATAACCAGTATTAGCCAACTAACAAGCATAAGGAACCTCGTCAAAGACCCTACCTGGTTCATAAATCTCTTCCGAAGTTGCTTAGCCAGTATAACAGCATCAACCTACAAGACAGAACATTATCAACAATTTTAAAGCTAAAACACCCTAACCAACAACAAAATTGATGATAACAAAATGAACCTTTTCAAATCAACATACCTGTTCAGTCCTGCCTCCAACCCTTTTAATGAAGTCCAATTCAAGAGTTAGCAGTGCCAGCTCGAAGTTCTCAGGTGGTACGAACCTTAAACAACAGCACAAATCAAATCATAAGAAACTATAAAAAAAAAAAAAAAAAAATGCACGGTCAATGCTAATACTAATCAGTAAAACACAAACTACAACAAACTAACCGGGTCACAGGTGTGGAATCAGCAGCAGAAACTTTGGCACACCGACGCTGAATGGAATTCAAACCAATATAACCATTGCGTATGCCTTCATGAGCAGTATCTCTCAGTTAAGGCCACAAAGAGAAAAAAAACACCAATACAATCCAATTAATCCATGCATTAAAATTAATTTCCACTATTCCGCATTGGCATGATTAATAGCAATAACAATTAATTCTATGCTACTCAATCGTTCAACGTAATTTATTTAAAATTAAAAAATAAGAGATTACGGGAAATGTAATAAAAATTTAAGAAAAGAAAGTGATGTAGGATATGAGATCGAGAAAACGAAGGAATCGGCGACGGAAGCGAGGTAGAGGTTGTTATAACCAGGGACGGCGAATTTAGGAAGATCGGAGGGGGAGCAGTAGGCGAAGTTGGTGAGAGCGAGGTCCTGCGAGGGCGTGTTAGTCACGACCATCGAGGTCGAACCGGAGGACGAAGAACCGAACCGACTCGCCATTTTTGCAACCAGATCTTGTTTTGCACTTGCAGTTGCAGTTGCAGATCGCAACGGAAAAGGAATGGATCCGGTGCTGCCTGCGCGCGGGAGAGAGTATATATGTATTTCTCTTTTCTTGGTGCAAGAACAAAAATAACTTACAGGTTAAGTATTAGGATTTCATTTCATCTATCTATATATATATATATATATATATATATATATATATATATATAAGGCAGGATCATTTGACACCGGTGTCAAAAAAAAAGTTTGACACCTCATCTTAGAGCCGTTAGATTACAAAAAATCAATGGTGTCATATGCTTACAAATCAGAATCGTTGATTTTTTGTAATCTAACGGCTCTAAGATGAGGTGTCAAACTTTTTTTTTGACACCGGTGTCAAAGGATCCTGCCTCTATATATATATATATATATACACTGCTGGAAAGTGTCGGCTATTTGACCATTTTGCCCCTCATTAAATAATGGGTTATGTTTATCTCATTTTACATGAGATAAACATCTCTCCTACACACACAAAAAGGGTTGGGTCCCACCACTTTTTTTTTCTCTCTCCTCTTACATGTGGGTCCCACTTACACTTTTGTTTCTACAACATAAGGTAATTCTTTTCCTACAACATAAGAAAAATATATCCCTTAATTAATTCATAACAATTTTGTCCCTGATTTGAAACTATCTATCAATCTGCTTCTCTTTAATCGACTACTTTGCATGTTTAATCGACCAAATGGTTGTTGGAAGAATTAATCGACTAAATCTCCCTACTTAATCGATTAAAATCATACTGACTTATTTTTTTTTGTCAAATATGGAGATTTAGTCGACTAAATAGGGAGATTTAGTCGACTAAATCTCCCAACAGCCATTTTTTGTCTGTTTTGGACATTTAGTCGATTAAAAATGTAAGGTAGTCGATTAAAGAGGGACAGATTGATAGATAGTTTCAAATCAGGGGCAAAATGGTTATTAATTAATTAATAAGGGACAAAAGGGTGAAAAAGCCGGAAAGTGTCACTCCCTGGTTAATTCTACAATTTGGTTATATATAAATTTTCTTTATTGGAAGGCATTGAATGTCCCACTACCCATCACATAGGTATCCAAAAAAAAAATCAGCTGTTTTAATTGCTTTTTATGTTAAAATTGGTCATCTCATCTGAAATTCGAAATTTTAAATGGTTTATCAATTAAATTTTGAAATTATGTATTTATTTTGCACAATCTGAAATTCGAAATTTTAAATTCAATAAAAAGAAAACTCTTTTCACGGACATGCATTCACGATCTCTATTCACGGAGATAAAAAAAAACAAAAACAAATTTCACAATTGTTGAAGACCTGATCGTCATTCAATTCACAATTTCGTTATGGTTATTTTTAAAAAAATATATATACAATAATGATATAACAAAGACATTATCTTTGTTATATAGACATTATCTTTGTTATACATTTTAAATGGTTTATCAATTAAATTTCGAAATTATGTATTTATTTTGCACAATCTGAAATTCGAAATTTTAAATTCAATAAAAAAAAACTTTTTTCACGGACATGCATTCACGATCTCTATTCATGGAGATCAATAGAAACAAAAACAAATTTCACAATTGTTGAAGACCTGATCGTCATTCAATTCACAATTTCGTTATGGTTATTTTTTTAAAAATATATATACAATAATGATATAACAAAGACATTATCTTTGTTATATAGACATTATCTTTGTTATATATTTGATTCAAATATCATAACAATCAAGAATCAAGAGAGCTGACAAACAAAATAAATTAAATCCCAAAACCAAAAATATAATATCAGATAAACTATCATACCAATATTCTTTTAAAAATTGAATTTTCGAAATTTTAAATGGTTTATCAATTAAATTTTGAAATTATGTATTTATTTTGCACAATCTGAAATTCGAAATTTTAAATTCAATAAAAAGAAAACACTATCAGATAAACTATCATACCAATATTCTTTTAAAAATTGAATTTTCGAAATTTTTAAATGGTTTATCAATTAAATTTCGAAATTATGTATTTATTTTGCACAATCTGAAATTCGAAATTCAATAAAAAGAAAACTCTTTTCACGGACATGCATTCACGATATCTATTCATGGAGATCAATAGAAACAAAAATAAATTTCACAATTGTTGAAGACCTGATCGTCATTCAATTCATAATTTCGTTATAGTTATTTTTTAAATAATATATCACAATAATGATATAACAAAGACATTATCTTTGTTATATATTTGATTCAAATATCATAACAATGAAGAATCAAGAGAGCTGACAGACAAAATAAATTAGATAATCAGGTGTTTTAATTTCTTTTTATGTTGGAATTGGTCGTCTGATCTGAAATTCGAAATTTGAAATAGTTTCAAATTTTGAATTTAAATATGGATGGTGGGAAAAGAATTTCTTTTAAAAATCGAATTTTAATTTTTAAATTGAATAATTAAATGACCGTTTGTGGTGGCAGATATAAAAGAATAATTAATTAATAAATATGATTTTGAAATTCGAAATTTTAATTGGATAATCAAGTATTTTAATTGCTTTTTATGTTGGAATTGGTCGTCTGATCTGAAATTCAAAATTTGAAATGGCTTAGAATTTTGAATTTAAATATGGATGAATGGAAAAGAATTTCTTTTAAAAATCAAATTTTAATTTTTGAATCGAATAATTAAATGACCATTTGTTGTGGCAGATATAAAAGAATAATAATTAATAAATATGATTTTGAAATTCGAAATTTTAATTGGATAATCAAGTGTTTTAATTGTTTTTTATGTTGGAATTGGTCGTCTGATCTGAAATTCGAAATTTGAAATGGTTTAAAATTTTGAATTTAAATATGGATGGTTGGAAAAGAATTTCTTTTAAAAATCAAATTTTAATTTTTAAATCGAATAATTAAATGATCATTTGTGGTGGCAGACATAAAAGAATGATTAATTAATAAATATGGTTTTGAAATTCGAAATTTTAATTGGATAATCAGGTGTATTAATTGCTTTTTATGTTGGAATTGGTCGTCTGATCTGAAATCCAAAACTTGAAATGGTTTGAAATTTTGAATTTAAATATGGATGGTGGGAAAAGAATTTCTTTTAAAATTTGAATTTTAAAATTTAAATCGAATAATTAAATGACCATTTGTGGTGGCAGACATAAAAGAATAATTAGTAAATAAGTATGGTTTTGAAATTCCAAATTTTAATTGGATAATCAGGTGTTTTAATTGCTTTTTATGTTAGAATTGGTCGTCTCATCTGAAATTTGAAATGGTTTAAAATTTTAAATTTAAATATGGATGGTGGAAAAAAAAATTCTTTTAAAAATCAAATTTTAATCTTTACGCGCAAGAACCAAGAAGCATCTGAAGCTCGAAACGCGTACATTTTTTTATTATATAGTTATTTTGTTTTTAAACGTTGAAACGGATAATGACATTTGTCTTTCATGACCAGAAATTGTTGACGCATTGATGACCATTTGTCTTTTAAAAATCGAATTTTAATCTTTAAATCGAATAATTTAATGACCATTTGTGGTGACAGTCAAGACATTTAATGTCCCACTGCCCATCACATTGGTTTCCAAAAAAAATAGCTGTTTTAATTGCTTTTTATGTTGGAATTGGTCATCTCATCTGAAATTCAAAATTTTAAATTGTTTATCAATTAAATTTCGAAATTATGTATTTATTTTGCACAATCTGAAATTCAAGATTTTAAATTCAATAAAAAGAAAACTCTTTACACGGACATGCATTCACGATCTCTATTCATGAAGATCAATAGAAACAAAAACAAATTTCACAATTGTTGAAGACCTGATTGTCATTCAATTCACAATTTTGTTATGGTTATTTTTTAAATAATATATACACAGTAATGATATAACAAAGACATTATCTTTGTTATATATTTGATTCAAATATCATAACAATGAAGAATCAAGAGAGCTGACAGATAAAATAAATTAGATAATCAGGTGTTTTAATTGCTTTTTATGTTGGAATTGGTTCTGAAATTCAAAATTTGAAATGGTTTAAAATTTTGAATTTAAATATGGATGGTGGGAAAAGAATTTCTTTTAAAAATCGAATTTTAATTTTTAAATTGAATAATTAAATGACCATTTGTGGTGAAAGATATAAAAGAATAATTAATTAATAAATATGATTTTAAAATTCGAAATTTTAATTGGATAATCAAGTGTTTTAATTGCTTTTTATGTTGGAATTGGTCGTCTGATCTGAAATTCAAAATTTGAAATGGTTTAAAATTTTGAATTTAAATATGGATGGTGAGAAAAGAAATTCTTTTAAAAATCGAATTTTAATCTTTAAAACGAATAATTAAATGACCATTTGTGGTGGCAGACAAGACATTGAATGTCCCACTGCCCATCACATTGGTATCCAAAAAAAATCAGCTGATTTAATTGTTTTTTATGTTGGAATGCGTCATCTGATCTAAAATTCGAAATTTGAAATGGTTAAAATTTTTGAATTTAAATATGGATGGTGGGAAAAAAAATTCTTTTAAAAATCGAATTTTAATTTTTTAAATCGAATAATTTAATGACCATTTGTGGTGGCAGACAAGGCATTGAATGTCCCATTGTCCATCACATTGGTATTCAAAAAGAAATCAGCTGTTTTAATTGCTTTTTATGTTGGAATTGGTCATCTGATCTAAAATTCGAAATTTGAAATGGTTTAAAATTTTGAATTTAAATATGGATGGTGGGAAAAGAATTTCTTTTAAAAATCCAATTTTAATTTGTAAATCGAATAATTAAATGACCATTTGTGGTGGCAGACATAAAAAAAAATTATTAAATATTGTTTTGAAATTCGAAATTTTAATTGGATAATAAGGTGTTTTGATTGCTTTTTATGTTGAAATTGGTCGTCTGATTTGAAATTCAAAACTTGAAATGGCAGACATTATCTTTGTTATATATTATCCAAAGTAAGATTTTATATCTATTTTTGTTGTTGTTATTATTAGATCGTTCATTTTATTTATAAATAACACAATCGGTGGTCATGTGTTGCAGATTTTG